GATAAAGCTGCCAATTTTCTCTTTTAATTTAAAAGAAAATATATATTTTTTATATATTTTATATATGGAAATAGATATGTATACCTCTATATTAGGGGGCTCTGTTTAATACTATTTAATTTATATTCAAATTTAGATTTTATTTCTTTAAATTACTTTTTTTTATTTCAAGTTAAGCCCAATTATTTATTGATTTTATAAAAAAAATTAAATTTTTTGTAATGACGTTAAAAAATTATTTAAATATTTAAAAACCCTCAAGACTGAAAAGAAAAAATTTTAAAAGAAATTATTTTTAATTTTTTACATTAATTAATTTTTATGTGAATAAATAATATTTTTAAAAATATTTTTAAGGTTTCTGTGTATTTGTGAATTTTATTTATTTTTTTGACATTGAAAGAATTTATTTAAAAAAAAGACTTCCCCTTTTTTATTTACAAAAATATTTAATTAAAACTATTTACCGTACATATAACCTGTATTAATTGCCCTCCCTTAAATGATTACCCCACTTCTATTAATTACCCCATTCAACGATAGATTGGAACAAAAATTACCACATAACAATTGACCTAAGACACGTTACCCTCCCTCGATTGATTACTCCCTCCAGCGGAAGGTTGAAACAATAATTAATTACCCAGGGTAATTATTAAAGGATATATTGTATGTCAAATAATTTTTAATTTTAAGTTAAAATTATTTAAAGAATATTTAATTTATATATACAATTTATTAATTTTTAATTTATTTTTACATCCAGAAATCGTCTGTATTTCTTTTTAAACATTTTTTGCTTAAGCTGTTTATGCCTACGCGCTCGTTTTTTAAATCCACTTTTCTTTATTATTTTAATATTTATGAAGAATTCCCCATCATTTATTCTTTCTTCAATACATCATTCTAAATATTTAATAGTGCAAATATATTTAAATATTTTTAATGTTTATTTGTGTAAATATTAGGGTTGTTCACTATCAGTTATTAACCTGTATCCCCCGGTTTTCGGTTTTGAGGTTTAGACAAATACCGGTTTTATTTTGGGGGAATTTTTTTTATAAAATCACTCATTTTCAGAAGTTTTTGATTTTTTAAATTTTTTAAAGACGGTTAATTTTTGGCAAAAAATATCAAAATTTTTGGTTTTAAAACCAGTCATGAATAACCCAGTAATTTTTAAAAAATCATTAAAATATAAAATAATTAAAAACATTCACCTCAATTTTAACTTAATTTCTTTTGTTAAGATTAGATTGTTTTTTTCAAAACTTTCAGCCGGTGCCTCATATTTTTTTTCATTTTAATGCTATGCATCTTTTTCTTCTTCACAACGAGATACCTACATCACCAAATAAATTTATTCCAAGTAATTCCTCTTTTAGTACTGGAAGTTCTTCTAGTAGCGTAATGAGTATTAACGAACACCAACAAATTACAACAAATTTAAAACGTAGTGGTTCTGCAGTTATTAGAGCTAGATTTGAACCAGAAGTTGATGGGGTGAATAGATACAAACATTTCCATAGGTTTGTTAAATAAATTTTAAAATTAGACAAAAACTTGTTTGATTATAAATGTGGAGGAATGAGAGTATTTATAGGGGTACGAAACTTCTAATTTAAAACGTTTTTCGACCCCAATATTACATTATATCCTGGCTAGATTGTCTTAAAAAGTAAACATTATTCCCGTTCCAAAATACTTAGTACATGGTTCGTATTTTTGCCCAATTTTTTGTACCCTGATGTTTCAGAGTATACCACACAGTGACTACCGTACAAAAATTTTAATTAATTTTATTGCTCTATTAAAATTTAAAAAATAATAATCAAAAATTATCATTTTTGAATCTTCTTTTTCTGGAATATTTTGAATATTATGTACTTTACATTTATATCCTATTTATCGTCATTATTATATATTTTTTTATTCCCTTACTTCCTTATTCAACCCTTTTTTATCTATTCATTTTTTGCGCAATTAAGGCCAATGCTTCCCTCACCAACAGCTGGTTTGTCTAACAACCACCACCTTCAACTATACAACGGAAAAGAAGAATATTATGTAGACGACGGACAAAGTATTGACAAAACATCTCCACGTCGACGTCGTTCCACGTCAAAACGTCTTTCAAAAATTCCAACATCAACTACGACTTTAAATAATGGAGCTGGTTCTTGCAGTATTTTACCATTAATTAAGGTGAGTAAAGGAGACAACAAATTAATGTTTTCTAATTTAAATTAAAAGAATATGAAAAAGGACGAAATTACCGATCTGTACAATAAAATTAAAATCAATTTTCCCAAATTTGAATTTTTTAATAAACAATTGACACCTTGTAAAAATAGGAAGAAAACCAACCCTCTTTAAAAATAATTATATTTTATATTAATAATATTTAAAAATTAAGGGAATAAAAGTTGTCGATAAAAGCAATAATATTAAAAGAAGACAAAGCCAAGATAGAGCTAAATCTTCTAATGGCCTAGAAACAACAGGTCTTAAGCCAATAATTTCCACAGCAGAAAGGCGAAGTAGTTCATTTGCTGCTTTACCAGTTATCGAAAATTGTGTAAAACAAAAATTAATTGAAAAACCACAAAAAGAAATTTCAAAACGTGAAAAAAGTGTAGAAAATATACGAGGGAAAGTTGGAGGAGGAAATACAAAATTGGATGAAGTAACAACTGTAAGAGTTCGTCGACGTATAATTATTAGCGATTGTATGGATATTTTTTATTAAAATTTATTAGAAATCTCTTCTTTTTTTTGTAGCACAACAGAAAAAATCTGCTTTCAATAAAAACATTTCATTAGACTCCTCTTCAAGTGGGCCGGCAGGTGTTTCTCACCCGAAACCTCCCATCAAAAGAAAGCCAAATAAAAAGGTCAAAAAATTAATTGGAGAATCTGTGGGAACACAAACAGAAAATGAGGTGTTTTTAATTACTTTCGAGGGATTTTTTAAAGAAATTTTAAATAAAAATAGGTTTGTATATCAACGGACGAGACTTCGCAAACAACAGAAACTGAAACAATAAAACAAGAACAAAAGAAGGAAATAGACACACAAATGCCCCAAACAAGTAAAACAACAATTGTTGTTCCAAGAGCAACACAAACAGATCAAAATTCCTTATTTAATCAAGTGACCGGTGGAGGGACTACAAGCAATCGATCGAGTGTGGGTCCTGATGAGGCAATAATTTAAAGGAATATTTAAATATTTAGGATCAAAAATAACAGATAAAATAACTTTGGCATTCCTTCCCACTAAAATTAAACACTTAATTATCCTAAAATTTTTTCTTTTCACAGATGGAACAACGTATTCAACTTCTTGCCATAATTGAACATGCATTAGATGAAACTATTGATAAAGAATCAAGACTTAGAACTAATGAATTTATCGCCTCGACTGCCCGAAAACAAGTAAAAGAGCATCATTTCTTCTAAAAAAATATTTTTTAACTTTTCAATTTTAAGGCTCAAATTTGGAGAGATGCAAAACAATTCGTTGCTTTAAACCTTCTCCCTCAAAGTATTGAATTAGCAAATCATACACGACAATTAAGCCGCGAGAGTTCTCTTCGCTCCTACGAACGAGCACTCAGAAATATCCATTTACCCTAAAATTAATTTTTTCTAAAAGAAGAAACATTTCTTTCTCTATTTAAAAAAAACAAATACAAGAGAAGTGCCTTGTGAAATAGAAAGAAAAAACAAATAAAAAAACGATTATAAAATGAACGCAATAAAAATGATAAATAAAATAAAGACAAAAATAAATATAATAAATTTTTTAGGGAAAAAATGGCAATCCATTTTTGTATTTTTAATCAATTAATTAATCCATCACCAGTCGAGAAGTAAAGTCTCTGCTAGCAAGTCGAGTTCCCTAATATTTTAAATATTGTAAATTTGTCTAAGGGTTTAAAAAATATTTTTTTAACCTTCAAACATCTGCTTTAAATGTTAACAGATGTTTGAATATTTGCTTTTTATGTAAAAAAAAAAGATTTTATCCTCGCAGAAATTAAAGAGACCCGTAAAGGGTCTCTTTAATTTATCTCGCGATGAAATCTGAAACCTTTTTTGAATCTGAAGAAGAATACAAGGTGTGAGGTCTTTTTACATGTAATAAAATTGTTTTTGAATTTATATTTTTGTGGATTAGTTAAGACACCCCTCCCCCCAAAAAATAATTCCTCTATTACTCTGAAATAAATTTCTTCTAGCTTTGAAAAGGGGAGAATTTTTTAAATTTGACACATTAAATAGAGGAGACAAATGAAAAACATGCCCAATTTCAAAAAAACCAGAAAATAAAGTTTATCAAAAAGTTACTTGTGCTTGTGCCAATGGCTGTGGATGTTGCTGATTATGATGTTGGTGATGACCGTGGTGGTGACCCGAAGCTGCTACTGGCAATTGTTGCAAACCTGCAGCCAATGAATTGTGATGATGACCTTGATTGTGATTGTTGTTGTTATTCATAATTATAGGGACATTGTGCATTCCATGGTTGTGGATATGATGATTGAATTGTGGAGGACCTCCAGAAGGAACTGCAGTAGCTGTTGGATTCGAAGAACCACCCGTAGCCGCAACCGTCAATCCATGCGCTGGAGGCGGTAAATGTTGCCGATTTTTTGCCAAACTGAATTGAGATAAATTGAGGGGAGGATTCATTGTTTAAATTAACTAAAGGGAAGTTCGAAAAACTCTTTAAGCTTTTTCGAATTTTTGGACAATTTGTTAAAATTTTGGTTAGGAGGGTAAAACTGAAATGAATGTTACAATCTTCTAAACTCAACAGTCATTCCGTAAATTTTCCCGAGTAATTCCCAATTCTACTATTACATAAAAACTTTTGGGTGTGTGAGAGAAAGCTTACAAACATTAACTGGTTCCAATCGAAAACATAATCATAAGCGAATCCTTGTCGACTAAAAAGTTGTTTGAAAAGTTGTCGGAGATAATCATAATCAGGTTCTTCCTCAAAAGACAACCCTTTGCAATAATTTAAGTAACGAGCAAAAGCATCTTAAAAATAACAAAATAATTTTAAAAATTTTTTTAATTTATAAAAAACCTGGAAATCCCGAACAAAGTTCCTCCACCGGGGTAGACATTTTCTTTTCAGAAATTTTGTCATACTTTTGCTTTTTAGTCGCAGCTTTCAATCCTTGCCATGGAAGTGTTCCTCGATTAAAATACATTAAAACATAGCCAAGAGATTCAACATCGTCTCTCCTACTTTGTTCTACAATAAATAAAGGAAAATATTTTTGTTGGGATTAACTTTAAATAAAAAATATTGCAAGAACCCGAAACTATTTTTAAATTCTTAAATAAATTTATTGAAGAAAATGGACAAGTTAAATTTTAATGGTCTAACAAGAAACCACCGTTTACGCGACTGCAAATTCGATATATTTCTTGGTAAAATTCGATAGAGGATCTCCAACTTCCTATTGCGAAGTGATGCGGGAGTAATATTGAACCTGACAGACCCCATTTTTTCCTCCCTAAGTTTTTTCCTAAATATCTACAGAATGGACAGACTTCTTCCATCCAAATTTCCTTTCTTCCATACAAGGTGCGGGTTTTGTTTTGCAAAATGACTTTGGGACGAAAACCAAAAAATCATGCTATTATTATTTATCCTATTCAACTCAACTGACATGAGTTTTCATGAGCTATCAAAAGAAGCACTAAATCAAATATTAGAATTAAGAAGAGGAACCCCAAATAAATAAAATTTAAATTACAAACCTACACCCAAATGAGTATTTATTGAAGCATATCGAGCTGTACCCGTAAGATTTTTGTGATCACGATATGGAATGTGCTGCTTTGACCTGTGATCGCGGTATCGCTTAGCCAGTCCAAAGTCAATAATCTAAAGTTTTTTTAAATTATTTTATAATATTTATTTAAATAACAAACATAAACAAGATTGCCACGCTTGCCAAGGCCCATTAAGAAGTTGTCTATATTTTTAGGAAAATCAAAATTTTACATAAAATATTTAAATTTACCAGGTTTAATGTCTCTGTGAATAAAGTCCTTTGTATGGATATAATTAATCCTTGCAAGCTGAAAAAATTTTTAACTAATAAAATTATTTAAAATCTCCAATTTTCTGATGTCGAAAATTTATTTATTAATTACCACTATAAAACGTTTGGGTGAATCAAACAAACGGATAGAAAAATTGGGAGATACTCAAAAAACTCTAAAGAATCACACAAATAGGAGTTACAGAATTTATAGTAGACAATTAAAATCTGTATTTTTCAAAAAAAAACAATCTCCCCACATTAACGAATTTATTTTTTGTAATTTAAAATTATCGATTTTATTAAAAAATACTAACCATTTGATCTGCTAGAAGCAAAACCGTCTTTAAAGAAAATTTGCGTGAACAAAAATTAAACAAATCTTCCAATGAAGGGCCAAGCAATTCCATAACCATAACATTATATTCTCCCTCAAAACCACACCACCGAACTTGTGGAATGCCGATACCCCCAGACATTAATTTATAAAGTTTTGCCTCAATGTGAAGTTGTGGATGTTTTGTTTTAACACATTCTAATTTTATTGCAACCTCTTCATGCGTGTGGATATTTTCACCCAAATAAATGTCGCCAAAGGAGCCGCTCCCAATTTTTCTACCTTCAAAAAATAATTTTTAAAAAATTTAAAAAAAATAAAAAAATACCAAGACGGAAGCGGCCCCCAACCCTTAATTCCATTTAATGGCGAGACAGAGATTGTCTGCAAAAAAGATTAAATATAAACCAGTCCGTCTTAAATAAAAAAAGAAATTTGTAGAAATAAAAAGTTGTTAAAATAAATCAATTAAAAAATAAATAAATTTAACTTGAGTCTAAAAAAATTAAAAATTAAAACAGAATGCCAAAAAAAATTTTAATTTAATTAATTTAAATATTTTGGGGGAAGGGGAGGAGGGTAAGGGGGATTAATTAATGAAAAATGAACGATATTTTTATAATACTGAGGGATTAATATGTACATTTATTTAATTTTAGTAATGCGATAAAATGAAAAATATTTAAAAGTAAAGGAGGAATTAAAAAGCAAATTTATTTTTTTGTCTCTCTCCAAAGAGGAAAATCTAAATAAAAATATTTTTTAGAGTCTAAATTATTTTTTTAAATTTTGTTTATCTTTAATGTCTTAAAATTTAGTTTTTTTGTGTTTGTTGAAAAAATATTTGTTTTTAAAAAATGAAGAAATAAGGTAATAAAAAATTAAAACTCAAAAATCATTTTTTAAATAATTAATTCAAAAATTTAAATTCGTGTATTTTTATTTACAAATAAGCAAAAAATTATTTAAAAAATTTTTTCAACAGTAATTTATTGTGTACCCAAAATGTTGCGAATTTGATCCTTTCTCCCTCTTTCAATCGCTAAATTTAGTTTGGGGGATAAATGAGGACAACGAAAATAAATAAATGTATCTCGACAATGATGAGGATAAATTAATGAAAATAAATATATTTATTTACTTTTATTTGACCTAACCCATTCATTTCAATGTCAAAAAAATCCCCAACTTTTCCCAACATTTTTCTCGAAATAGTTGACTCATTGGAAGGCAAATCTATTGGACGTTTGAATAGAAAAAAGGGGGTTTTGCTGTTTTAGGGAAAGCAATTGCTACTCCTCTCCTCTTCTCATTCTTCAATATATCTTCTCTTCTTCAACCACAGGGAAAAGTAATATCTTCCCCCAAAAACATTTCCTCCCCCATCCGACTGCGTGTCCGCGACCATCACCAACATCGCGACCAGACAGGACTGCCCGCTCGCTATCGGTGTGCCACCGGCCGACGATTGCGACATGCCCGACCGGCAGTTGCCTTCACTAACTTCTCGCCCCCCGGAGAGCTAACCAACAACCACTTCTCTTCCTCCCCTTCCAGTATCGAGAAAATACTACCACTATAAAAGTAAAAAATTTAGTAGAGGGAGAAGAAAAATAAAAATAGAGTTTCCTTTCACATTACTTTGCTATACGAAGAGAACAATTCTTGAAAGGCAGTGTTGGGAATGAATAAATAAAATATATATATTGGTAAAGGAATTAGTAAAATGACTGTAGTACTACTAGACCTCCTTAAGCACCCACCCACACATCGAATATATTTTTATGAGTTGTGGTCAGTCAATACTTTGAGGGCCAACCCCAAAATTGGGACACCTAATATTTATTTATTTGATGCATAGTCAAGTTAATGAGGAACGAAAATTAACAGTAATCTGAGAAAGAAAATTTTTTCCCATAAAGTAAACCTCTAATTAAAAAATCTTGGTTGAATTTTTTGGAATTTTTGAGGAATAAGGTCATTTTTAACTAAATCTTTATAATTATGTACATATGTAGTATTTTTAAATAAAATATTAAAGATCTTGTGAATATGTCCATTTTTTGTCGTTCAAACAAAAGAAAAAGTGAAATAAAAATCCCATAACATTGTGTTCTACAGTTTTCTATCTGTTCTGATTTTAAGCGGCTCCACAGTTCAGGACCTAAGAGAACACGGCGACCTACTCTAATTTATCATAAAAATAATTAAATGATTTTATCTTTTAAATC